GAAAAAAGAGATTGGTTCACTTCTCCTGTCCCATGGAAATCCATTTCGATTCCAAGCGGCGACTCTCGGTTCCAAATACGCATCGGCGCTCTGCGCCAAAGCTCCTCTCTCCTCATCCTCAACTTCAAGCCATCCATCCAGCCGCACCAACGCCGACTGTGCAACAGCGCCGACATCTCCACTGAACAAAACGGGGTTGTGAAAAATGCTGCCCATTACAGGCGCAAAAAACACAAGCGCCCCAGGTCTGTCCAGCACCGACAGTCAATGGCGCCGACATTCCTCCCAATCAAAATCCGTGCTGGTACAGGCGTGCTGCCGAGAAGGCGCAACCACCAAGCACAGATACTTCTCCTTTGACGAATGTCGTGGCCAAAAAACGCTGAAAACAGTCCATATCAGGTCCACACGATGAAACAACAAACAAAATGTGACAAGACAAAAGACAAAAACAACAAAAAACAACAAAAAAGCAAGGCTCTTGAACAGCACTTGCAGAAGGCTGCCTACTCGGGCGCCATCTTGTCGCGTTAAAACATGAATGTATATATAAAATAAAATAAAACATAAAATGGAATTATGAATTTAATAGGATTAATTATCACCATGTGGCCTCCATTATTGGAACACACCTATAAAAATACATTCCTAAATATTATTAGGAAAAGTAAGAGAGATCATGATCATACATTAATAGAGCAGAGTAAAAGTAACACACAAGAAATCTGGAAAGTATGAAATCATATAATCAGAAGTAGTTCTAAAAAAGCTGACGACCCAAAATCCTTTTTGAAGATAAAAATACTGTTTTTGAGAAAACTCCAGAAATATCAAATGAACTGATTGAGTATTGTGTAATTATTGGTTGAAACCTAGCAAAAGAAATTCCTGAGCCAATGAACATGTTTGATAGATAGATGAATACATTTAAAAAAAAACTCTTCCACCATGTTCCTTTGTGCTGTAAATCACAGAGAAATATTAAATATTGTTAAAAAATTTAAAAATAAAAAGTCTATTGATTGTTTTAATTTTGATATGCAATCGTAAAACAGATAAAAGAACTTGTAGTGTGACCTTTCACATACATATGCAACTTGTCATTCAAAGCTGGTATCTTTCCATCGAAAATGAAAACTGCTAAAGTTATTCCTATTTATAAAAGTGGAGAGGGACATCTGTTCACCAATTATAGACCAATAGCACGACTACCACAGTTCTCAAAAATATTACAAAAACAATTTTCACGCAGACTTGGTAACTTTTTACAGACACATATGCTATTCAGTGAAAATCAATACAGCTTCAGAGAAAAACGGACCACCTCAATGGCAGTAATGGAGTTTGTGGAAGCAATAGCCACTAATGTAGACAACAAATAATTTACTGTTGGGATTTTTCTGGATCTAAAAAAAAAAAAAAAGCTTTTAATACAATAGATCAGAGTTTATTATTGAATAAATTAGAACGATGTGGCATTAGAGGTGTAGCATATAAATGGATAAAAACTTATTTGGATAACAGATGTCAGTATGTGCAGTTCAATAAAAAAAATCTAATCAATTGAAGATCACTCATGGCGTTCCTCAAGGGTCTGTGCTAGGCCCAAAATTATTCATATTGTAAATAAATGGCATCTGTTGTGTCTCAAAACAATTTAAATGTGTCCTGTTTGCTGACAATACAACTTTGTACTGCTCTGGAGAAAATCTGAAACAGCTCCTGATTACTGTGTAAAATGAATTAAACACATTGAAAAACTTGTTCGACAGGAATAAATTGTCACTCAACTTGGAAAAGTCAAGATAAGTTTTGAACCTCTTCCTACTTCCTTTGAACATGTAAATTTGTAAATTATGCTCAGTGATGACTTCGGTTTTTGTTTTTTCTGGTCAAGTTGGTGATACTTCTCTTTACCTCCTGCCAAAATGTCTATAATCTGTTCATACGTTCAATAAATGAACAAAAAAAAAAACAAACAACGAATGTAAATTATCTGTAGGCTAAACTTCGGCACATTCACGAGGTATTGCACCAATGTTCATAAATGTATCCTGTCGCTTTCAAATAATTCAAATACACAAAATAAAAATGAAAGGAACAGGAATAAATTGTCACTCAACTTGGAAAAGTCAAAGATAATTGTTTTTAGCACTAGACCAATTAAACACTGAGTAAGAATTATGGGAAACTCAATTGAAACAGAAAGAGTGCATGAAAATAAATTTCGTGGAGTAGTAACTTGACCTGTTGTGTGGAAATATAGGGAAACGCCTGCATAACAAACTCACTCCCTGTTTTAAAACTACAAATAAAAGCAATCAGAATTATTAATTGATCAAAACATACTGAACCAACGAATCCACTATTTAAAAAATTAAACAATGAAATTTTATGACTTGGTTAACTTTATAATAGACCAATTAAGGTACAAAGTACACAACAACCTGCACTGCCAACCAAAATACTCAGAAGCTGTTCGAAATTCGTGAGAGTTGCTATGATTTGAGGGGTACAAACCTCTACAAAAAATCCAAAACAGAAGCAAACATGAAGCAAAGGTGTGTTTCTGTAATCGGTGTTAATTTGTGTACTGGTTTTGAGACTGACCTGAAAATGTGCGACTCGCTTGCTGTGTTCAAAAACAGGTTCAAAAGTAAAGTACAAAAAAAACTATATGATTCAGATTTTATTTGGTAAATGTATTAAATTCTGTAATGTCAGAGAATATTGAATGTGAGTATCAGAGAAAAGTGACAGATAAATGTGCCAGTGTGTGTCGTAGTCCCTGTCAAAACTGAAAGTTGCACAAACATACACCATATAAGGGCAGCATGCACCAGGGAAAAAGCATTTGTTCATCGCGAGATTTTTTTTCCCTTTTCTTGTCACATTGAGATATACTAAATGAATGATCCATTACTTTATGAAAATCAATAAAATTAAACCTCACAAAGAACAAGGGGTAGGACAAGATAAATTTTGAACCTCTTCCTACTTCCTTTGAACATGTAAATTTGTAAATTATGCTCAGTGATGACTTCTGTTTTTGTTTTTTCTGGTCAAGTTGGTGATACTTGTCTTTACTTTCTGCCAAAATGTCTATAATCTGTTCATACGTTCAATAAATGAACAAAAAAAAACAACGAATGTAAATTATCTGTCGGCTAAACTTCGGCACATTCACGAGGCATTGCACCAATGTTCAAAAATGTATACTGTCGCTTTTAAATAATTCAAATACACAAAATAAAAATGAAGGGAAAAAAATCTTGGATGCATTCTTGTATAGCAACGATACAATTTTGTAATCATGAGATGTTGACCAAGTCGACAAATGAAGGAAATGAAACAAGCATTTGATCGAAAACAAGAGCGTCGACATGAATTATAACGACAGCAACCAGGAAATATAGTTCTAAACAAACTGCACTTACCAGACGTTACGCTGTGTATTAGCAGAACCGCTCCATAGAATGTAAATGTCGTCATGGCTTCATCAAAAGATCACTTAAACTTGATGGCTCGGATTCATTTTCGACCCGACTCGAAAAGAGTTGGCTCCGCAACGTGCAGCGTATGTTCAATATTCTCCGTATGTTCCCAAAACGACTGAGTGTTGGTGAGATATTTGGTCAAAAAGCGACATCCTTGGTGACACTGGTAACTACAACAACAATTTCGAATTCTCTGAAATCACGCGATGCTCGTGGGCGGTATTTGTAAAGAGGACTCGCATCCTGTACGTCAACACAGCTGCCATACTGGATGTGGAAAAGGGGCGTACCACAATCAAGGCCAGATATCATGGAATTCAGACTGAGCAATGGCTTTCTTCACTTATACCCAACTCTCATCACTACATGGTGCCTTGAGAAACAAATGACCAAACTTGAACGTTTTTTTGTGCTCATTTGCTTAAAAGTGTGCTGTACAGCGGCAATGAACTCAACTCGCACAACAACCAGCAACATGTTTTTTCAGAGAGTGAGCAATTCTTCAAAATAGAAGCTATGCCTGATAGCAGTCAGTTTATCCTCACACTCACAAACAATACAAATTCCCAGACAGGCTAACAAATAACATCTGTGTTGGGGCAACACATGTACATAATATCACGATTCTCACAGGCATACTTTCTTTATCTTTTGCAAAGCTCTAATTTTATATTAAGCATGTTTTCCCACCCAGAACGATGAATTTGCTCGTACTTGATTGATACAGCTCTTGACTTTTGGGCCACCAGCCACTATTGACTCGGTTAGGCTTCGGATTGATCGTTGCAGTGTGAGAACCATTTTGACTGCCCCCCCCCCTTCCTCCCCCCGAAAACAGTGGAGCACCACATGTAGACAGGCAACATCACAATGCCTCTTGCCATATATTCTTTATCCTGAGCGGGGAAAAAATACTACATCTTATTGAATAGAAAGAAATACAGCAGTGGTGGCTCTTCATTTGTCTGTATGACAGTGCTATACTGTCCCCCGATGGTCAGTGTGGGCACATCAGAAGGAACAGCACATTGATTTAGATTGAAGGAACGAATGATCGTTTTATCGCAAGGCACCAGCTTGCTGCATGCAGATTCAAAACGTGCCAGTTTAATCATGGGCAATAATTATTTTGTTACTGTGTATGTCTATAATTCTTTATCCTTGGCGTATTTTTAGGAAAGCATGCCAGAGATGAGTTATAGACACGAGTGAACTGTTTTAAATGTGTGAAAAATGTTGGAGACTCATTCAGTAAGTTGTTTCTGTTCACTTTGCTGGTGTTTTCTGATCTATTTTGCACCCTTGCCATCAATGGAAAGTGACGCTTTTCTTCAGCGAACTTGCAGAGAAGAGTGAGAGTGAAAGTGTAAATAGTATTTGCGGGGTGGAAAGGACGGGCCAAAGACAAACACGTTTCGGTTGCTCGGTTCCTTTTTTCCGAAAAAAATAACAAAAAGAAGAAAAGAAGAAGCACGGATGAGCGGAACAATTATGACGAACTTCTGGTCAATTTCTAATGTCTTTCTCCTCAGCTACTTCGTCTAAGGCAGTGTTTTTCAAACTCTGTGCCAGTGTGCCGCGGTAAAATATCCAATTTGTATGCCTGTGCGGTCTATTGCCCAGAAAGTAATCATGTAGTACCTTCCCATACCGCGAGGGAGGAGCAACAGCTAGCCAATTGCCTTATGTTTCAACCACTAGAGACAAGCGAATTTGTGCCGCATGAATGCAGGACGACAGTGAAACAATAAATATGAAAGATTATAAAATACTTTTTCTTTGTGCTCATTTAATTTCCAATTCAAGCTGTTATAACGTCATTCTTCAATGTTAAAAACGGTTATAATAACAATATAATGTGGCAGTCGAAAGGAGCACACACGATTGACTGTAGAACACGTCTTTATTCCACGACTGCCAACAAGTGGATCTGAACAGTTACAACTTTGCGCCAAAAACATTCACATAACCACGCCCCCTACTACATGCCTGCTGGGTGAGAAGCATGGTCCAAGTGTCCGCCCTAATAATACGTTAATTGTTAAAATAAGCGTTTTTTTTTTTTGTTTGTTTTTTCACATTTTCAGCTCATGGTGTGCCCCGAGATTTTCTCAATGAAAGAAGTGTGTCTTGGCTCAAAAAAGTTTGAAAAACACTGGTCTAAGGTATGCGACACTTCACTCGACAGACATG